GCTATTATTTATTTGTTCTAATACTGCTTGTAGAAAAACGCGAATTACATGAGGAAACTTTAGAGAAACGTGAAGTCACATCGTAATTTGTCGCTTCAACTTGCCGTAAAACGTGCTGTCCTAAGAAATAAAACTTGAATATACGCGATTAAGGTTCGGAAACTGCGCGGGGCAATTTGCATCCAGCAGAAAACAACCGGCGTACTTCACGTGCACGCAATATATATATCGGTATACGCGCATATGTATGTAAAGTAACCTGGTGAGAAGGTGGAATATTAATGAGTACAAAAGTGGAATCGTTGCAAGCACCGGTATTCGTTTCGTTTTGCGGAAGTACGCGGAAATGGAACTGAATCCACAAATCTGAATATAATTCGATAAATAACGGTTTTTTCACGCTCGCCTAAAAAAAAAAAAAATCATTCGCGATAAAATTCGCTCCTATTCGTTACATCTACTATTCGAAAATCTATAATACACGATATGTTATTTGTTTTAGAATTAAAAATTGTTTAAAAGAGAAATATAACATCTTGATATTAGCTAATATTATATTAATTATATAACTCTTCGATAAATGACGAGATTATATTGAAAATCGATGCATTGAAGGGATGAGAGTTTGATATTTTCAGAAATGATATTTACTAATATAATATTTTGATATCCCGTGATTAAAATAGCTGACATTTTTCTTAACGAGTTGTTTATCACTCGACGATGGAATATTCTACGATTCTAAGTACGTCACAGTATTCGAACAATTTTTGTAAAACATTGTTGAAAAAACAATACAACGATCAATACAAACGCTTCACGTACCTATGTCCATCAAATGGACTTCACCAAGATGTCGTGCGGCGTAAAGATGAAGTAATCCGAAGGCGAGCTGCATCCCGGTGGTGAGCAACAGGGCGAGAAAACCGGCGGCGCAAACCAGCCAGCCCCATCCACCCTCTGGATAGAAATGCGCTCGCATACCGGCGACGTCTATCCCTGATAGAAAAGATTATCCTCTTTATAATTCAGAGATAAATCGCGGAATCGCATTCGGATACCGTCAATATAGAATATCTCGCGGCAAGGATGGATTTAGCATTGTGCACTCTCGATAGGAAATTTCTGATATATGAATGAGAAATTTGCAAAGTGATTTAGTTTCGTAACTTGTAATAGAGACCTTGAGTAAAAAAAGTAATATTTATATCATTTCGTAGTGTATCATTTTATTAATTTCCTAATTTATAATATATTAATATTTACTATTATCACTAATATATTTATGTAATATTTATTTATTTACTTCAAAATTATATGATTTAAATAAGTTATTGGAGTAATATTACGTATAAAAAAGTGTATACAAAAATGGAAAAATAAGGTACAATACTGTAGATGATATAATTGTATTCATTCTATTATTATACTCATTGAATATTCAAATATATAGTTTTGCAAAAGAGGGAGATAAAAGAGAGATACATATTATACCTGTACGGCGAAGTGCGGGTACACAACGATGCAGACTGCGTAGGTCGCCCAAGACCCAATTCGTATTGCCACCTATGGTTTCATCGTCCACGTAACGCAGACGAGTGTCTGAAAGAAATTGTGAATTAATCATGAAACACGTCATTCGTGTAATTATTCAAGTATCTACATCTGTCTGGAATTAAATAAAAACGTGAAAGGAAAAGAGCATTCTTAAATATAACTTGTTGAAGAACCGTACTCCATATTGAATGGTATCGTTGCGCTATCGGAAAAGGGTTCGTGTTGAATTGAAACACTTAATTCCTGAAATAATACACTACGTGAAGACATTGAATTCTCGCATAATGGGAAACGGCTGTTCGGTGACCGCGACAACGACACCTGCGGCTGGCAACGGCAGCGTTTGCATGAGACAGAGTGTGAGGGCAAGAAACTAGTTGAAAGAAACGATATGAGAGATGATAGGAAGGAAGGAAGGAAGTGAAGAGACGACGGTCAGGTAAATGCACCTTTGAAAGAAACGACGAAGCCTCTGGTTGAAAAAAGTAACGTTGGACACAAAGTCAAAGAGCGGGTTACGAAGAAAGGAAGAAAGGTTGAAGATCGTGAAATAGGAATGACCTTATTCAAAAAATTATGAATTCAGAGTCAGTTTCTGATCGCGGGAGAAGATATCTAATTAAATTTATGGTTGTGTCTACGCGAACCCAAACTTTTCCATTAGCGGTGTTAAATGTTAAACACCTTTGGGTTTTGTGTTGCTACGCATATCATCCTGGCAAGTCTAGTGGAGCCGTTTTCATCAAGTATGCTTGATTAATTAATGTTTTTGTGTTTGATTAGTTTGAGTTCGATATAAAAGATTGATAATATTTTCCCACTTGCCTTCCGAATTTATATTCATTTTCTGCGAAATTCACAAATATTAAAATTAAATATCGCTCTCTTTCGCGTTAAAATTTTTTCCTCAAAATAACTGGAAAATATGTCTCTCTACATTTAGTAATTATTCGTATGGGTATTACTTGATTTTACATCACGTTTCATACAAGTAATTAAAACTGGGTTTCCGAATGTCTCAGTTTCTAATTTATTCGCGAGTTGTTCTCGTATTATATAACAGTTTGACATCAGTTGTAAATTATCGTACCACCGTGTCAGTACGAGTGTCATACGAGTAAAACTGCGTTCACCAATGCAATTCAATTTCGAGAACAAGTCTGTAAGTGGATAAGTTCCTACGCAAGCTCTGTTGCGCTTATTAATGTTCAATATGTAAAATCATTTGGAGATTATTTGCACGATGCTAGCATTATTGTCGTCGCTGTTATTGTCATTACCTCTGCGTAGTCTTTACCGATAACGAGAGACGTTGCACATTCGCCTTTAGGTGAGTAAATCAGCGAGAATGAAATATTCTTCATTACCCGGTACGTAATGAGAATAAGGTATGAAAGGAGCGCGTAGTGAGGAACGCGCGTTCCTAACGCGGCAGAAGGAAGAGAGAAAAAAGAGACGAGAGACAGTAGGTATTTTGCCGAAAATGACGTGAGACATAGAAATTGTCGAGGATGGCACCGAGGGCAAAATTGCCGTGGGAGTTACGAGGGTGCCTTCTTGATGCCGGAAAAAGAGCAGCACGTTCGCAAGAAATGCGAATTTCTTGCGAACGTGCCGCATCCTTAGTGAAATCACGGTCGCATTTCCGCTGCACGATCTAAACGAAATATCTAAAATGCCGCTTCGAGGAGCATGGAGAATGTGCAATGATTGCTTCAAAGTAAATACGCGAGAGGCTTCGATTTATAAAAAGAGGACGTTTTATATCTGCCTCGAACGTAAATAACTTCGGTTTCGTGGATGTTTCAGATTAAACTTTGCAAAATTTTCGCAATCTTCATCACGTTATCGAAGTCACGTAATGATAAAAAAAAACTATCAATAACATTTTCTCCATTGCGTCGTTTATGCTGTCATGGTTTTAAAGAAACTTAAGCATCGATATTTTTTATACCTTTTATAATTGGATAAATAGTAACAAATTAATAGATAAAAGAATATTGAGTTCTTCTTTTATGTTTATTACGATATAGATGTGAAATTATTGATTCTCTTTCATATAAAAGAAATAAGACCAAAACTACAATTTCCGATTGCTACTCTGATTCACCTTTGTCAGTCGAGATTGAATACTGATGGTTAACCTACATTTATGATAGACACTGTTTTCAACGATACATCAAGCACAAAATTTTAAGATACCTCTTCGACAGAGTTAAGTGGAATTGATTCCTATTTTACCATATCCCGTTGTAAACTTTTCATTTTGTCCTACTTCTTTTGTTCTCTGTCTTCATATAAAGATAAAAGAGACCATTAATATTCGAGGAACAACGAAAATTAAAAATTTTCAAAGTATATTGGCTACGTTTATACCAAGAGACCTCTATACGCGGCCTGATCTATAATGCGATCAAAATAGGTCTAGGCACCAACCATTTACATCGTAAGCGGCCTGAACACGAACTCTGAACTTTTCGAACACAACCCTTTATATAAACATTTTTTAAACTTTTTTATTTACGAGATGTGATATATGTCCATTACCAATGACATGACATATGTCAATATTTGAGATTAACAAATGATGGCTGTGTTTACACCGTGCATTTAGGCCACGACCTAGGGTGCATTCGGGGAAACACTATTAGTGCTACTTGTATCATTCTATCTTGTTTATTAAACGTAAAACAAAGATAGATGACACAAATAGCGCTAATAGACCGCTCCTCGAATGCAACCCTATACAATAGATGTCCTTGTTTATCTTGTAGGTTAAACAAAGACACCTATCGTATAGGTCGCGGACTAAGCGCACGGTGTAATCGTAGCCAATTGGCGGCCTATTTCAGATCAGGTCATCAAAAACTGACCTATGAAGTCTGACCTATACAGCCAGATCTGATCATCTCTCAAGTGTTTATAAGGGACATAAATAATTTAGGTCGAATTTGAGGTATAGGTCGCGGCCTAAATTCACCGTATAAACGTAGCCATTAATGTTGTTCACATAAAAGATCTAATGTGTATGTATATATATAAAAAAACAGACTTACTAAAAGCTATACAGTAATCTTCATATTTTCTAAACATATTACTTCACAATATTTTCTAAAAATCTCTATATAAAAATTGGAAGAATTTTATAATTTTGTCTGCTATCAATTTATATATTACATGAATTTCTGCAAGAAATTAGATATACGGCGCACGAATTGCGACATTATTATAAATTCCAGTTGTGTGAACGTGCTACATAACTTCAGATTCACTCGAATTAATTCAGTTCATTTAATTAAAGTAAATTCAATTAAACATCTGAATATTGGCACAACTTTAATATTGCTTCCATACAAACGGAATAATATATCTCGCGGTATGTATCAAATTAAAATTTAGTAAGAATAATATTAATTTTGAGATTACGGACGGTAATTCTTTAATTATTCTGCATAATTGATATTCAGGATATACGATTGGAATATATTTGACTAACTGAAAAGTAAACTCACCGCCGTGATACGAACTTCCACGGTGCGGCGTGTACGTGCCATTTTGACCCTCCATACAATGAGTCGGCGTATAGTACTGCATGGGATGTTGCATGTAATTATTGGGGGTGTTGGGGACATGTACCGGATGACAATGTATGCATCTTCGTGGTGTCTCGGGCGGAACCTGCAAACAAGATGAATTTTCAACGCACTTGAGTGTGGAAGGGACGGGGAGCAATGTAAAGGCGTTCATGTAGACAATCGCCATGTTTATTATTATTACCACGAAATATTACTCCGCGCTGATGTTATTATGCAATATTGCGTAAGATTATTTCTCAAGTTATTAATAACAATCTACCAGTATTGTACATGAAAATTTTATCGTGTAAATGTCATAAGCTGAATTTATGACGTCATTTCAAAATATTAAGTTTAAAAATGATTTATTATCTTTATAAGTAAAAAAGAACTTATTTTCAAAATGAAAAATTTTTCAAAATGAAACAACCGAGACATCAAGATGTGTTTTTAAACTAAAAATTGAAAATCTTAAAGTACCATTTACGTAAATATTGCTTAAAATTAAACGACTTGTAACAAATTTTTTTAAACGTTGGTTAAAGCTATGTCTCTTTCCAATTCTATATTTCTTTTCTACAGGAATTCTACGATTTTGCTAAAGTGTTAAAAAATTTAGATAGATACAGATTTCAAAATAATTTTATTGGATCATCAAAATAATTAAGTAGGAAACTTAAAGGACATAAACAATGCTACAAAAAATTCTGGCATTCTAGTAATCAGTTTGAGCGTCCTACCAATAAAATTTATTCTCAGATCTGTATCTAGTTAAATTTTTAGATACTTCAGCAAAACCGTTCTTTCCATGCATGAATTATTTCCTTTGCAGTCGTAATAAAATCAGTTTTCTCATATATCGCATTTAATAATGTGTAGATCGATAAAATGTTCTTTTTTTATTATCCTACGTTATATCACTACGTTATTATCTTTTTATATCTCTATATTTATTTTTTATTTTCACATTTTGACAACCAGTTTGAGTGTAATTATTCCTACGTAATTATGTTAATAATTCAATAAAATTTATTTTCAGATTTATATCTAGTTAAACTTTTAAATACTTCATCAAATCCGTTCTTTCCACATAAAAATGGATAAAAGATCACACGACACGCTTCGATTGATTATAATCTGCGAAAATCGATAAACGAGTATAAGATCTTTGCAAAATTTTCAGGACCCCGATCAATCATGATGTAATCGCGCGTAATAACAGATGGCTTCAACAACTCACCTGCATGGAGTGTTGCGAGCGCAACGATCTTATCGAACCGGTCGGGTGCAAGGACGGCACGCTGCCGCCGAAGCTCATGGCCGAATTTCTGCATCCTCCCGGGGTGGACCAACCGCCGCGCACGCTAGCCGTAGTCCACCCCATCCCGCTTCCGCAGTCATCCACCAGCATCTTCAGAGCGGGTGGACACGCCGCGTTTTACGCTTCCGACATCGACGGCATGTCAACGGTCACGTCAATTCGACGCTCGATGTCCCGTACTCGTGTCACGTTATCCCCCGTCGTAATACGGCGAAGAACTAAATTACATCTTTCTTGCTCGCTGTCAAATACCCTGAAGCACGACTTCCGGATTGGACGACGTTAGACGGGTCCCGCTGAGCACGAGGGTGAGATACGGAGACAGTCGTTCGATGGTGCGTTCGAAATGCGGTGCAGGGTGTTTTCCATTTCGGTCTGCAAACAACGTGGAACGTGCTCTGATTTGATATCCTAGTTATCGATAATTACATTACACGCAATGCGTACGTGTGCATAGATTGTTCGGACTTACCTCCTATTCTAAATCGAATACGAGTAATTTGCAGCGCGCTATAAAATATAATTTATCATTCAAGCAGCATATTTGACATATGTCAATATAGCAAGTAATTCTAACAAGAGTTACAATTTTTATTTCTTAATAAATAACAATTTTACCGCTTGATTGAATCCACGTCACGTCCGGTAATATGTAAATGCGTTGTTTTAATTATGCTACATTGAAAATCTTTAATTAACTTTACGTTCAATTAATTATGTTATCATTTCCCGAGTGAAAATATGCATTTCAATACAGTCATTTAGGCACGCCGTAATAATTTTTATTGTATAGCTAATAGGGATCATAAAACTGTCATTATAAATTCAATGATTACGTTATTGTGTGTTTCGAGAGTCGGAAAACAGCCGATTGCTGATGTAGGTAAAGCATTAAATATCGAATATATGCATCGCGATATATGCACAGGATTTGTTCGATTTGTACACGAGGATTTATAGCGTGAATGTTTTATGCATGTACTCATCCGAGGGAAGAGTCGATGAGGATAAAATTGTTATTGGATGCATATCGGACGTGCACGCGCAAGTTATTTTGCTTGGAGTTATTGGCATACATGCCAAAAACACATCCTATTTCGTCGGTCGGATTCAATTAATCTCCAACCGTCTCGGAAGTTTAACTAACAATGAATCTTGCACTTCCAGCAAAAAAAATTTTCTTTCGATTCACAAAAGTCATGCAGTTTACATTTAACATCATTTTCCAAGTCAATAACATTTTGCAAAAGTTTGTACAGTCGACAATTAGGAATATAGTTATAGGGGAAAGTTGCTGAATGCGTACCACTTAACCTATTTTTTATTATATTTTCCATTTGGCACTGTTTTATATGCAAATGAACATTAGAAATTGTAGCTTGAGGTTTTGGATGCTTATTATTACATGTTTAACTTTCCACCAATAACAAATTAATTTGTTATAAATCTTTTTGTAACATGTTGCAAAAGGTACGATTTAGGTCGCCTAAATTATATCTATAGGTATTTTTTATCGTATTTCCTTTGAAAGTATTGAATTTATGAATGAAAACAATTAAAAATATAAGATTAATAAAAGAAATCATTAAATAATACCTAATAATTAATTAATACCTAATTTTAATAATTTATTGAAGAAAATCAAATATTTTATAATTATTAAATAACAATAATAAAAAACAAATGACACAAAAATAAATTTGCTTATATTTATTTTTGCACTTGATATTTATATTGATATCAATTATTAGTTTTATTATTGTCAGTTATCAGCCTTATCTTTTGATGGTACGATTTAGGAAACTTGACAAATTTTGTAAAAATATCGATTTAATCTTTACAATGGTTGCAAATATATATAAATATTACTCATTTCTCATATATTTTATATTATTGTTACTAAATATTGCCTATATTAACTAATAATATCAAATATTGATAAGGTATGATTTAGGCGACCAGTACGCATTCGGCAACTCTCCCTTAATTATAAATTCAAATTAAAACTCGAAAATATAACTCTGTTATAAGATTTCATAAAATAGATGTGAAATGTTAAAACGGAAATGTTCGCTGGAATTTATAGGCGCGTTTTATAAAATCTCGTTGCCCGGCCATACCGCAAAAGCATAAAAGTAAACGCACATAGAAGTAAGCAGTAAGCAGTAAGATGTAAGCCATCTTTCACATATATATAAGATATACTGGCAATGTTAATTGCCTACTTCGTACGTCTTACTGCTTACTGCTTACTGTTTGCTGCTTACTTCTACTTCTATGTGCGTTCATCTTAAGGGGATCCTAAAGCCGTCTGTAATACCGAATAAATCGTAATTTTTGTATATAACAAATACTTTTTTTCTCTTTCACAAATTTGAAAATCTTTTTCCAGGATAGACATTAACGTGTATACTTTAATCCTGGGAAAGGATTTTCGAATCTGTGAAAGAAAAAAAAGTATTTATTATACAAAAATTACGATTTAATTGATAATACAGACGGTTTTAGGATCCCCTTAACTCGCGAAAAAACTGTTTTCAGTCGGTTGAGAGGATTAAAATGATCTGTTACGTGTGTATCCCCTCCAATCTCGTAGCACCGCAGTAACCATAGCCGCATTTCCACCGATCTAACTACATTGATATTCATGTGTTGTTGCCGCAGAACTGTATTGCCTTTGTTTTTTTAAATATCTGCAGCACACAGAAACTGTCTAATAACAGTGATACATGGTGTTCCCTCTAATTATAGATACCTGCATATAACGTTACCTACAATTTGGCACACGCCAAAAATAATAAATTTGTATTTGTCCTTGCGAGAGAAGCCACATCGATAAACAATTCACTTATTCTCTTGATTATTTTACTTCATTTAAAAGAGTGTTAAATGGGTGCCTTCCATTTAGTACACAAGTCGACACAAAGGTCGTTTTATCTTTTTTTACATTTCATGAGTAATAAAAAAACGATACTTTTGTCGATTAGATAAAAGGCACACAATAAGTTAAATATAATTCTTATCGAATTAGTGTTGGTATAAAAATGAATTTTAAACGAATTTTAAATCACGATGTTAAATTCACACCATGTTGGTGTTTATATCAATGAAAATTACATGCATATGTTAAATCCACACCTATATTTTCAAGAATGTAATAACACTTCGAAAAGAAGACTTCTCAAATAAAAGGACTCAATCGTTTTAGAATCATTTTGATATTCTTTTGTATCATATATTATAGCAATATGTAATAGTATAAAGTAGTATATTGCGCAGTATTTTTAGTAGATATTTATAATAGATATTCTTTCTTCACGTCTAAAGTATATCGATATGAATAAGAAATGAATAATGAATCGTATCGATATATTCCACGATAGTCTATTCGTACCAACATATAGTATATTGGGTCATCTGACGTTGCAATTTTTATTTCGCAAGATTTATGTCCTCCGTCCTATGCTACTGATCCTTCGACTTGCCTTATCGTGAGCTCGATATCATGACTGCGTATGCAGTGAAGTTTCGCAATAAGAATAACAGCACTGAGAACAGACCGCGAATTTGTATTCGCCACCGGCGTATATTTTCGCTCTCACGTCGGTGACAAGCATCGTCGGAGAAAAGAGGAGAAATTCTGCAACGACCCTAAGAATACCACGGTCATAAATCAACACGGAAAGCAGTTTTTAATCGGCACTGCTAAATGGATGAAACTCGAGGAAAACCTGACACCGGCAACGCGTGTTTACTCGTTGTCACTATTAGAAAAAAAAAAAAAGAATTGAGTTTATCAAACTGATCCAATGAGTCACAAAACTGCCGCATTTTCGATTAAATTCGAATTTGACGAAGCATTTTTTAATTCCTCATAATTTAGCGTAATTTTGATTGCGGTATGTATATCAAATTGATTTGAAGTTTTTCTTCCATTAAATTAATTTTATTAAAATACATAAAATGGAGAATATTAAAGAAATAGAAGAAAAATGAATTTCAACAACTAACTTGTGATTTTTTTGATGAAAATATATAATTTTTCCCGGACAGAATATGTAATCGTGTCCAAACTTAAAAACACAAATGAAATTCAGTCAACGAGACAACTCGTATTGATCTCAGTTAAATAAATAAACTTCGAATAACTTCCAAAGTAGAATTGTCAACGGCATAAGCTGTATTTCAAACGTCTGATGTATTTTCAATAAAATCAATCGTTATCGCACATTTACTGTTATTATCCTTATGGCTGATATATGTATACGCGCATATGTATACGCGCATATGTATATTTTGTGGCCTGACATATTTCACTATCTCTCATACACGATTGAATTAAATTTATAGTATAAAAAAAAAATCGCACGTGTAATCCGACGTTAAATAAATATTGCTCGCGTTTATTTATTCATTCAATTTCAGAGAATACGCGATTATTTTTAATTGAAAATATCGCCTCGCCTGACTTCACAGGCTTCACAGAGAAGGACGCACAGTCTTACGCGAAGAACAATAAAATTTCAGTTTTTAAACAACGAATTAAAAGTATAAATAAGCACATTCGTACAGTTCATTGTTGCATTCGCTGTAACGAAATAAATGTAGGACAAATGAAAAGCGTGTTTCATTATGCTGATGTATAATAATAGTCAAAATATATTCGGCGTAGCAACAATAACGGAGTTCTAATTATAACAAAATACATTTAAGGCAATGGTATACGGCCCGCCTTCGTAAATATGTTTTGGATCCTCACACGCGTTGGCAAACTAATATCAAATAACATTATTAATTAGCGGTAAATGAGCACGCGCAAAAGCGTATCGCGAAGCAGGTTTGTTTCCGGACAAATATTGCACCGCCGCATAATTATCATTTATGCATGAAGTCGCGATATTAACCAGATACGCACAATCGCTTTATTACATGACCTATGTTTATTGCTCTGATCAGGTTTCTTCATGCATAATAATCATTCGCATGTAAACAGTGTATATTAATTGTACAAATCTTATCCCCTCCTTTTAAATGCTGTTAAAATTATTAGCGCAATTTTTCCAACGAGCACGCGCTATTAATTTAAAAAG